TTTATATATATATATATAAATTATACACACACACACACACACACACACACACACACACACCCTTTCTTCTCTTTGTGTAAAATATAATTTATCTTTTCAAATATACTGGATTCTTGTTATGTTTTTTGTGTGTTTGCCAAGCCCTTTCCATTTCTAAGTTCATACTCATTGAAGGAGAAAAAAGTGAAAGCAATTAGGCAGCTCTTGTTTCTTCAGGAAGTTTCCATTACAGTTTTCATTAAGGATTCATTTTATCAATTTTAGTACAGCTTATTAAATCTTCATTTTCTTGTGTCCAAAGTGGCTCCGTGCACTCACTCTCCCTGTACACTGTTTGGAGTTCCTGGCTTTTTCCCCAAGCCTCCTCCCTCCTGAGATGCGCCCTCCCTGTTCTCTGCACTCACCCTGGACTAAATTCCTCTATTGCATCTTCGCTTTTTACAGGTGTGGTCTGCAGGTGTAATCATACCTGGTTCTGTATCTGTTTCACTCTCCATTCTTCAGGACTGCTCATTTCTTTTAAGTCAGACTGTCTTTTAAAGATCTGTGAATTTGAAAGCATAATGAGCCTTTCTATAATTTTTTAGCCACTTTACTAAATTCTGGGAAATATAATTGAAATTGGCTAGAGTCTCCTTCCTTTGCTTTTAGGTCCAGATGCTGGAATGGCACTTTTCCTAGGTTAATGGCATGTTAAGATAGCAACTTTTTGCTAGTCAGAATTACATCTATGGGAGGCTATACTCTTCATTGTTGATTTCAGCAAAGTTAATAACTTTTCTGACTTTGGCTTTTAAAAGAATGAATTTTTTCAAAAATATAAATTCTATCCATCAGAACCTTCCTGAGGTAACAGGTTTACATTCATTCTTAAAAGAGATAGACTCGTATAGTCAGAATATTTGGGAGCTGTTCTAACTTGGACCAGGATGCTCTCTAGTAAATAGTTACAAAACCTGGAAGATGTTCTAAAGTTTATGGTGTAACAATGAATTTAAAAGAAACAACCTTTTCACTAGAATTCACCATTTCCCCAACATGACGAGGAATAAATTCCTAAGTTAAAAAAAAAAAACTTCAAGTACCTTCTTTGAGATCTATTTTTAAAAAGATTTTCCAATTTTTAAATGCCTTATAAATAAATGGACATAGATTTTAGAAGAGCATTCACAGTATTGTTCATTTGGCTAGAGGTGTGCCCTTGCAATTTTTTTCTTTCTCCTTTTAACTTTCAGAAAATACATTTTACTACAGTATTATTGTTTTTCTGCTTCCTAAACATTCATATAGATACATACCTATATTATCCACTAAAGATAAAAACCCATTAGGTCTGCCCACTATAATTCAAGGAAATAAAATAAGTTTAAATATTCTCCCATTTTAAGAAGACTCATTCAAAAAGGCCCATGCAGAGAGCCAGGTGTGATGGTGCATGCCTGTAATCCCAGCATTCAGGAGGCTGAGGCAGGAGGATCACTGTGAGTTTGAAACCAGCCTGGGCTACACAGTGAATTCCAGGTCAGTCTCAACTACATAGTGAGACCCTGCCTTAAAAAAAAAAAAAAAAAAAAAAAAAGGGCAGGAGGATGAGCCTCATGACAGAAAGGCCCATGCAGAAAATTTTGAATTTTGAATTCATATTTTAATCTCAAAATAGCAAATTATTTTTCTATAATTTCAATATACTATTTTCGAGGAGAAAATAGTTTTATTCATTATTTTACCTAATTAGATTAGCTGCTATAGTTTATTTTCAGTGGTCTTGCCTTTTATAAACAGAATAAAAACACCCATGCATCTGCTACTAATTGTAAAATAAGCTATCAATGGCATAAACTGTATGTTTTCATTACATTCACTTAATAACCAATTGCTTAGCAGGGCAAAAATTAGCATTAAAACCTTCTCATGACTGAAACTTAGGCCAGGATGGAGGTTGGTGCCTCAGAGATGTTAAGTGAGATGTCCTGTGTGACAAACAGGGCCGGATTCATCACCAAAGGTCCTCAGAAACAGTGAGTCAGCACAAATATACTAAGAATCTGCAGTGGGCTACAGACCAGAATTGCTAGAATGTCTCTCTACCCTTCACTGTAACTTCAAAACATCTCCTAGGAATCACCTACTCTTTCATCACAACAAGATATCCTTGATATATTAGAGACAAAGAAAACAAACACATTAAGATGATCAAAAGGCCTTCAAAGAAGATGTAAAGTTGATCAGGGATGTTAATCATTTTATTAATAACAAAGGTGATGCCACTGAATTAAGTAGGAAGTTCTCATTTTTCGTATCCTCCTCTCCAAAAATTATCATTGTCTTTTGTAATTAGCATCAGATCTAGAGCTGCTCTAAAGCCATTCCTAAGCAGCTGCACTTTCCTGCTGGAAAGTCCCAATAAGCACTTACAGTCCATTTGTGAGAGGACATAGAGATGCCTGAGTGAATTCAATGATACTAAAATTCAGCTTTCATAAGAATAGCCTCTTCTACTTCATTATATCTGCCAAGCATCTCTGTCTGAAGTCTTCACCCTTAGCATAACAATAAAAGCAATAAAAAATTTCTTTTGGACATACAGGGAGCAATTAAAAATATCCATGCACTTTATCCAAATGCCATATTTCAGTGTTTCAGTATTTCTTTCCCAGAGCAGGAAATCAATTTCTTTGGTTATTTGGGTGCCACTGTACCCAATATGCTACAGAACATTTTAGTTAATAACAACCACATAGATGACAGTGGCCCCATGGGATTATACTGCCTAACGATGCTGTAGTCATCTTAGTTTGTAAAAATGCACTGTGTAATGTTCACAGTAGTGAAATCACAAAAGGACGCCTTTCTCAGAGGAGATTCCTAATGACACTGACATTATTCACCCTGTTCAAAGAATTTGGGGTTTCAATATGTTATTATTCTTGCTTTTTCAAATGACCTAATAATTTTGTCCTTAGTTATTAGCCATACAGAACAGACTGGGAATAACATTAAAAGTTCAGTTACAGATACTTGTTTTGTATTTGGAGTCAACCTATACATAAATGCATCCATGTAAGTACAACATTTCAATATGACAATGACTAGAATCTGATACAGAATCATATCTCATTTATAATCTGATTTGCCTATGTCACTTTAATAAATAATAAGCTGGGACCATTTCACTTCATATAAGTAAATCCAAAGGCAAATGTTTATACCTCATTTTATCTATCACAGTAGGAACAGACCCTTCTGAATATTTATGTACATGATGGTGAAAAAAGGAAATATTCTCGTTAGAATATGATACTAGTATTATTATTATCATCATTTTAGGTTTGAGATAGGGTCTTGCAATATAGCTCAAGCTGGCTTCAAACTTATTATGTAGCCCAGGCTGGCCTCGAACTCACAACAATCCTCCTGCCTCAGCCTTCCGAGTGCTGTGATTAATGGCTTATGCAACCATGTCCAGCTCTAGAAGCATTTCATGTGTTTGTGTATCTAAGATATCTTGTAGTAACTAAATAACAGCAAACTGTTGTTTAGGACTTACAGTCTGTTAATTAAAATCCTTGATTATTTAAAGGCTCCAACTTCCTGATTTTTCCTTTTATATTGATATGCCAATAGGTTAAATTTTTTTTACTTAAGAAAATATATAGGCACAGTCATACACAAGTAATTGGAGCTTTAGGCATCTTTTGAAGTTATAATAAAAACTTATTTATTCTCTCAATTTTTAATAACATCTAGAAATATAAGTCACTTGGGAGAAAGAGTTAAGAACATAATACACTGATATAAAGTGCAATGAAGAACAAAATTTGCAATATGGTAAAATGATGCTAATTTTAACTATTTCTAAGAAAACAGTGTTTTGTAGAAACTGAGTACAATCTAGAAGGACAAGCATGCATTTAAATACCAAGTACAGTCAAAACCCAAACATTTTAGATGGCGTTTGATGGAATTGTTGTAAACATTTCCTCATAAAACTAAAATATTCTATTTTTTAAAACCTGACATACTTTTTCATTTAAAGAAAATGTATTAGCTATCTTTGTCATATATAACAACATAATAATATTTACAACTATAATTATGTATATTCTATAGCATATTCGAATTTCAAGCCATTTTCTTTTAAATTACCTCAATCGCCATTACAATCTTGAAACCTAAGTGTCTACAGGAAAAGTACTTACTACTGTAGATTTAAATAGTTAACTGGTAATTATACTATAAATTGATCAATGTATTTTATTAAAAATATTTCTAAATCATTCAAAAGTTGAGATTCATGATGAATTCTTTTAATTTGCCTTTAGGCAAATGAATGTATCATAAAAATTAAACAGAGACTTCCATTTCCATTCATGGGCTGAAAATAAAGTATCACTTGAAGCTGTTCACTAGTCTCTGGTTCACTACCATGAAACCTCTCGAAACCAGGCTCACTGCTTCTTTCAGTGTTTCCCCTCTGATGCTCATACAGCCAGCACTGCTATCCTTCCAAACCACAGGCTGATGCTGTGTCTTCCCCGGTGAAAACCCTCCAATGGCTCCCATCTCCTTTAGAATGACTGATGGAAGATGAAATGTATAATGTGATTCTTTGCCTAACCTTTCAGTTTAGCACTGCCTCTACTCTTCCTTCCTCCAAAAAGGAACATCAGTTATTCGAACGTATTCTGTTCCTTCTGTGCTTTTGTCCATGTGTTTCTTTGCCTGTAACTCTATTTCTCAGATCTTAATCTGGTGATCTCTTATTCTACTTTAAGGTCTCAGATTTATACTGCTGTATTGTGATCTCTTGCTTTAATTAACTGGTTCCCTTGTTAACTGTAACGATGTGAGCAAAGAGCTTTGTTTCTCTTATATACTATGGCCTCTCTCGGGGCCCTAGACAGGGTCTAGTGAAAGTATGTACTTAAGTAACTCCTGTTGAACAAAAAATACCACTATCAGATAATATTTCAAAATTTCAATTTAAAGTACCTTTAAAGTGATAATAAGCATTGTGGACTCTAAAATATTAATTTCTTTAATTTATCAATTTTATTATTTGTTAATTCAGCTAAAGATGAGATTAAACATGCATATTTAAAGCATTCTTCCTAGAAAAGGTTTATTTAGAATGGGCAGGACAGAGAAAAATGACAGTATTATAATACTAAACTCTGAAAAAGTAACTTCTTTGAGGAACAATTATAAAATGAAAAACAATCATTAAAAAAGTAAAATGACCGTGCTCTTTTCTGAACTCATCCACACACACACACACACACACACACACACACACACACACACAAATATTGCTACTCTTTTGCTACAACAACAGCATTGTCCTTTGTTGTTGCTTTCTGAATAGCAAAGGATACAAGGATACAAGGCACAGATACAGAGCTGAACTGATTTCCTGCCTGTTCAAACCTCTGCTCTTTCCCTTCCCTTGCAAATGCTTTACAAATAGAAAAGAGACAGAAAAAAGAAGAAAGGTGAATCATAGATGAATCATTACCAAGAGTTTCTGAAGACCTCAGACCCTTCCAAAACAAAGAACAAAATGCTAACTGTAATTCCACTGGAACTGAGCCACCAAAGAGGTTTTGAATGTGACACTTGGTTGTTTAAACTGATTCCATCAACACAGGACAGGAAGAAAATAAAAGCGAATACAGCCTTTTCAAAGTGAAGCAATATGAAATACCACCAATTACCTGTTCATAATAGTGGATGTTCTCCTCGGCCATGTCTGTAAAGGCTGACTTGATATCATTTTGCATATTTTGTCTCCATCTTTCCCAATCTGCTTTCAGGGCATTATTGGCACATTCCACTTTATCTTCAAGTTTTCCAATCTCTTCTGTAAGCTGAGGTAGTTCACAAAGAGATAAACTCATCTATATAGTTCTCCCATGAGGTGAATTCATTGATTTTATGTAGAACATTATAGAAAATCAGTAAGAGATAACATTTTAAAAAATTCATCAGTTTATCTCAAGATGCCTGACCACTATTTCAAGATGCTCAGTTCAACAATCTTAATATATTATTTATGCCCACACCACCTTACCCACCAACATCTATGCATGGATTTAATTCATTTTTATATTTGGGATGTGAATATATATTATTGTATACATATAAATTCATTCATATATCCAGCATATATTTATTAAATGCTCTGTCTGTACTAGGTATTCTTCTAGGACCTACAGGCTCAGTAAAGAAGACAACAGACAGAAATTCCTGCTTTTACCAGAGCTTATATTCTTTTGGGGAAAGATAAACTATAAGTAAAATATGAACTCTCCATTAGTAATAAAAGGTAGAGAAAAAAACAAAGCTGAAAGGTGGGTAGGAAATGTTAGGATGCTGCCAGTTTAGGCAAGGTGACCAGGGAAAATGCAAATAAGAAATACCATAAAAGTGTGAAGTAGCTGTGAGTAAGGCATGGGATACTCCAGAGAAAAGCAGTCCTGGCGGGGGACTGGAAGTGAAGCATGACTGGCTGCGCCAGCACAAGGAGAGTGACTTAGAAAAAGGACAGGAAAAGTCAGATGAAGCAGTGGGTGACCAGAGCACAGTGGGCCATGTTGTGCATGGCAAGGTTGGATGAGTGCGATCCAGAGCCCAGAAGATCTGAGCCCAACAGCTCCATCCCTCTCATATTTTTTAAGGGGCCATTATATATAAACACTATTTTGTGACTGATTATACTCATAACGGCCACCATTTAAAAAGACACCACATTTCAAAAATGTTACCATGTGAAAATGTCTTAGATTCAATAAAACAGCTGCTGAGGCTTGCTTGAATTCTTTTTTTAAAATATAAAAATTCACTTCTCTGTTCTTCACTACAGCCATGTGTTTCTTGGGTAGAATTCTCTCCATGAGGCCATGTATTACTTTACTCTATTGTTATGAGCAATTATCTTGACAAATCTTGAGAACATGTCTAATGGGATGTTAACTGAATAATAATGATAGGCTGTGAATGCTAAAGGATAAAGTAAAACCAAAATTGTCCAAAGGTCAAAGTCAAAAGGATATGGGTCTATAGAAAAAGTACAAAGGCTGTTAGAAAGCCTCACTCCTCAGAGCTGTTGGACAGTCTTACCAATTGTTAGCCAAAAAGCAATTACTCACTGATTAACCTAGATCCAGTGTTGAAGAGACACATACACTTACCATAACCATACTAGAACGTTTTCTCTTCAGCTTTGCAGTCTAAAACTGCTGTGCAGTGGAGTGAGATAACTGGCAAAGAGAATCTCCAGAAATTGGATTTAGGAAACACAGTATCCAAATCATATATTTTACCTTTTTCTCTTCATCATGAAGCTTAAAATGGTGTTACTGTGATGATGGATTTGCAGCAAAAGTTTCCCCCTTGTCAATCTGCACACCCCCTTCACGAAAGCCCTTGAAAATGTTGCTCAGAGGGGTGGGTGGTTTTTCTCTAATAGCTATTGCATTCCTAGATAGGAGGCTGATTTGACTTCATTCGCATTTATAGAAAGAAGTTTGCAGCTTCATCAATGCACTACTGGGATTGTGAGAACTGTGTGAGTTACCACCCTCAGATTAAGTCCTACTCCTGTCTTTTATAAACTATGTGGTACTGGGTAAGACTATCTGTTGAAGTCCTACTTTATCTGTGAAAGGAACACAAAAATAAAAGCACTCATTTAATAGAAACTTTCAAGAAAAAAACATGAAATAAAAATGTTAATCAATTTACACAGGGCATGATAATTTACTTACTAAATTTTCAGTATCAGTAACACCCTTATTATCAGTTGTGAAATTGATGCTGATCCCTTCTCCTCTTCTGGTATTTGGACTTGGGCAATATGCCATTCTTCCGCTAGCATCTAGCTCAAAGGTCCATTTTTAGTTCTATTTCTTAATCTAGTTTCTTCAGTATAGAATATAATATATATATGATTTAAATAAATAGAATCCATTTTTGTCTTTTTGTGGCTACATCTGAGTGTTGTTTTCTTTGATGCTTTCATTATTTCAGTTGGAAAAGGAGAAAATGAGACAGGTATTTCCCAGAATGAGCCATTACCCCCTAACTTCAATTCTAACAGTAATGGTTAAAAAGCACAAGGCGCCTAATTCAAACTAATCTGGACTGTATCTTTGTAACAATTTTTAAAGGCATAATGTGATTAGATGTCTTTCCTTTCCTTTGATATCAATACTGGTAATTTCTCTGGCACAAGGACTGTGCATTCTGACTCTGCCCTCTGCAGGCTCTAACAGGACGTGTATACTCGGCGAAAGCTGACCAAAGTGGGAGAACGAAATGTGTGAGAAAAGGCCAAAGAGGCTCCTCTAGTGCTCCTGTGTTCCCTCCAACACCAGGCAGAAGCTGTTAACAACCTTAACTACAAAAATTTAATTCATCTTCTCTTCAGCAAAATAGTATGGCAAAGATTTGGATAAAGAGGATTTAGAGCTTGCAAAACTCTTTACACTGGCAGCAACCAGGCCTCCTGCCAGTGCAAAATCTGAAGAAGCAAGCAACTCTTTTTTTCCAGTAAAATGTTGTCAAGGCCAGAATTTTTTCTTTCTGGCAAAATGTAATGTAACAATAGAGACTGTACAATAATGAAAAAAGGTTTATATTTAACATCAGGCTAATGGTTAATTTCTAGCTGTAGTTATGTTCAGCTAGAAATTAGCCGCACAATTAAATGAAAGTCATTAATATTGAGAGCTCAAACAAAAACATTACCATCCTCAAATATGACATACCTGTGGTAATAGTAATAGCAGTAATTATAACCACTGAGTGTGTTTCTGTCATGGGCCATTGTACATGCTATATAGTATGCATATCTTATTTCATTTAATCTGTACAAGCAAGCCATACATTGAGCATTACTATCTCTCTATTACAAGCTGGGAAACTGGGAGAAAGAACTGATAGAGATTGCAATTCTTTGGGGGCACAGCTGGGATTCAAATTAAGATCTGCCAAAGAAGGAGATGTTCCATCTCAGTTCATCAAATAAGACCAGGCATGGGACTAGCTTGCCTGTGACTTTCAATTAGCCTGTGAGCTAATTAAGTGTTTATCTTAAGAAGGCTATGATACATTAAGCTACAGATACGCAAAAATAAACAAAGACTATCATAATAAGCAGAAGCTGGGTGTGGTGGTGCACAACTGAAATCTCACCACTGGGAGGCTGAGATATGAAAATAGCCTGAAGTTTGATGCCAGTCTGGGCTATTAAGTCCAAGGCAGGCTTGAAACGCACAGTGAGACACTATCTCAAAGCAAAACAAGCAATAATAATAGTAAGCAGGATGTGATACATAACCTCACACAAGAAAAAAAATAAAGTGTCATCTATACAGGATAGAAGATTATTTGATTGAAGTTTCTGGACATTTGGCTATTACCTCACTGTGCAGTGACTGGGGCTGAGAATGCGGCAGGCAAACAACCACAGAGATCCTGTAATACAGAGTGACCATGACCCAGAATCTGCTTTGGAGTCCGAGAAGGCAAGAGGAAACATAAGAAATGCAGCTGAGAGAGTAGATTCAAGAGTGGCTGCAAAAGCAGAGAAACGATACCGAACATGGAGTGGATTTTGCAGAAACGATGAGCCCCCAAAGGTGGTGACTAGGCCAGGGCTGTGCATCACACAGATTCCTGAGAAACAGGTAGAGAGGATGGAGGAAAGAAGAAGGAGAGGAAAGAAACCAGTCAGACTGAAGTCGGACTGAGGCGACAACGACCAGCAACAGGCAGGGTCTGGTTCCCTTCCACTCAGCCTTCCCTGCAGCACTCGCTCAGCATTCATCCGGTCTACATTAGCAGCGAGCGGAGAGTGGGGGAAGAGCAGACTCCACCATCACGCAGCCTTGCTACTGGGGAGAGATGAAAAACAACTGGACAAAGAAAACATGCAAGGCATTTAAGGCAAAGCAAACTGCAGGTGTAAATCCACAGAAACAGGTTTATGCTTGGAGTTTCTGAAGAAGAATGACAGGTGGCTCATTTGGATTGGTACCTAGGAAACGAGTAAGAGAACAGTGCAAGATACGGTCACATGGACAGTGGCTGTTAGGTCCTAAAGGGGTTCCACAGAGGTATTTAGATTTTAACAGAAGGGAAGTAGCAGCTCTAAGGGTGTTTAAAATAAAGACCTGGAGGGCACTGACATGAACCAGATTTCTGATACCAGAGAAACTGAAGAGACAAAAGTGTGAGAGGTAAAACCGGAACAGTCTGCCACTTGTCCAGAGGTGGTGACTGGGAGAAAAGTCTGTGAGCTGGAAGAACAGGCTGGGTAAGAGAGAGAGCCCCGAAGGCCACAGTAATAATGCAGACTGACATTCATCGTCCCAAATTGTCCTGCCGTGGCTCATGAGGCACATAGTTATACACATATTAAAAACCAGTTAGCTGCACATGGGCCATTAAACTTCAACTTTAATTTTCTATTCTTTTTAAAAATGTAAAGGTGCATGCAAAAACATATCTTCGCCTAAGTTCAACCATCAGAAACAGGTCTAACATTAGAGCAAGTTAGATAAATCAAAGCAAATATAATTTTTGGGTTTGTTTTTTTGGGGGGTTGAATCCAAGGCCTTCATAAGGTAAGTAAGCACTCTTCTGTTGAGCTATATCCCCAACAAATTATTAGCTTTTGAAACCAAATGGTTCACTCATATATAAACAGCAAAGAAAAATTTTTTTCATGTAAAAGCATTTTTAATTTGTATTTACTAACTTTATAGAAAAGGCTATAATGATATAATATTTTTCCAGTCATATTTTTTCCTGGCATGATGTTATCTTAGAATTATGTGAATTATAAACATTATAGATGTGATGT